AATAATAATAATAATAATTTAACCTATAATATATTGTGAAATATAAAATTCTTTATCAGGAAATGATTATTTCAGAATATCTCAAGTTTTACTAACATTTGTAAAATTCAGGTCAGTTCTTTATTTATGACCTTAACACTGACTATTTCTCCCATCTCAAAAATAAAAATGTGAGTATTTTATACCAAATCATTCATTAAGGAACCAGATAGATTTAAAGGTCTATGGTGACTTAAACTAAATATAAGTAAAAGTGTCTCTTTCCCCATCTATTTTTAGTGCTGCTGTAATGTACTTCTTCTATCAACAACCTTGGTCATAGCTTACATGATGACAAAAAACTAGACAACTTCACAAAATAGAGCTAAGAATAGTAAATTATTCCATTAATCAAAAAGAATCAAGATTTTTTTAAAAAATAGATGAAATAAAAAGGGCTGGCCAGTTTGCTCAGTTGGTTAAAGCATAGCCTTATAACACCAAGGTCACGGGTTTGGATTCTTATAGCAGCCAGCAGCTAAAAAATAAATTAATAAATAAAAGCCTATATCTGGACAGCATCACTGTTAACACTATCGTTTATTTCCTTTCAGCTTTTTCTCCAAACACAGATTCATATAGAAATGCATCTGCTGATAGTTTATTTTTATAGTTGAGATCATACTCAGGGTCACTACATGTGGCTACACAGGCAGTATACTAGCCAACTCTAGTCCATGCTATTAACAAACTACAATATCCATGCACTACCTGGAATTGTGCAAAGCACTGGCCCTAATCATAGTATGTATGTAGTTTTGTATTTTGAGTTCTCTTAACCTAATAAAATGATTTCTCTTTGTCATTTAATGTCTCCAAACAATTATTTTAATACTGCTTAAGAATGAATGCTATTGCTATTTATAAGCTATAATTTAGCCTCTCATTTATTAAATAGCAAATAGTTTCCAATTTTTCAGTACAATAATGAGGCCATGGACAATACTGCATATAAACTTCTTTTTTATTAATCCAGGAGAAAAGACTTACTGCTGTATAAAATACTGGATGTAAAGAGACTGACTACCCTGAATGCTTGCTCTCCAGGGCAGACATCAACAAAAAGAATAAAATTATATCCATTCTACCAATGGGCATTTTCATCTTTTTAAACCATTGCCAAATTTCAAAAAAGTAAAAAATATTTATTTTTTAACATCCAAATCACAATAATTTTTTTATTATTTTGTCAGTATAACACGTAGTTGATTTTCATGTCCATTTATCAATTCCTCCCTCCCCCATCCCTCCCCCCTCTACCACCCATCAACATATCTGTTCATTTGTCTTAACAGGTTCAAGGAATTGTGATTGTTGTTTTCTTCCCCATTCCCCCACTTGTTTGTGTATTTATTTATTTATTTTTAGCTCCCACAAATAAGTGAGAACATGTGGTATTTCTCTTTCTGTGCCTGACTTATTTCACTTAATATAATTTTTTCTAAGTCCATCCATGTTGCTGCGAATGGTAGTATTCATTCTTTTTTATAGCAGAGTAGAATTCTATTGCAAATCATCATATATAAACAGTCAAAATTTAATGTTATGTTACATGATTTCTAGTTGCCAATTAATAAGGATGATTACAAACCTGGAGCCATAGAAACTTTGTTCTTCTCTTCCAAAATAATTTTCCCATCAAAACTCATAGCAGGAAGCATTCCCTGCTGAAAAAAGATTACATTCTCTTTTTTTAAACCAAAATACTTGTGCTTTGTGAAGAACTCTTTTGTAGATTCCATTGTTCTGCCACTGGTCATTATATACCTTAAAAGAGAAAAGTAACAGATCTTCTAAGTAATGGTGCTATGTGAATTAGGGCAAAATAAAGTTTTGTCATTTCTTAAGATAAAAAAAAATCTTTGAGAGTGCTTGCTTCTTATTTTGATTTCCTTCATGTTTTTCTTGCTTAAGATACATTCATTAGCTACTACCCAAGGGTAATCTCTTCCAGCAATTTCACCAATCCTTATGTATAAAATAACCATATTAAACATACCTCTTGCAATAGAGAATGTATAAATGATTTAAGTAAACATCTTAGAGCTCTGTGAAAGTATATTATAAATTTAAAACTCCTATCTTAAATAAATAGGGAGAAAAGGGTAACTGTAATACAGTCTAATGATTTCTTGTGGTTCTTTTTATTAAAAGTTGAAATGAACCCTGGGCTCTCATCACTATCCATTAAGAATCTAAAAAGTATAATTATATTCTCTGTTGGCACAAAAATCCAACCATGCCAGTGTGGCAAAGGAGAAACAAATTCTATCCAAAACAACAATTAGTGACTATAGTAGTTTTTGCCAATACTAGAATGTAAACTACATATTACTAGGGATTTTTGTCTGTTTTGGTTACTGATTTATCCTCAGCACCTAGAAGCGGGCACTGGATTAATATTTGTTGAATGAATAAATGAATAAGGAAAATGGTATAATTTCGACCAAAGTAGATATCTATTTAACAAATTATCCTGGGTATTTTGAACTTTATGTACACAGGTTTGGCCATGATTTTGAAGATAACAAAAGAGGTGACTAAACTGCTCTGTATAAAAGAGCAGAAATTCTGAGTTGTGAGGAGATGGGAGAAAGAAACAGAAGAAAATCCAACATGATAGTAGGAGGCCAGGGCTGTAGGTAGAATGATGGCCTCTTAGAACACCTCTTAGATGTCCCTCAAAACCTCCCACAGGAATCAATATGGAAAACACCGTTCACAGCAGGCCAGCACTCATGTTGAGAAAAGCTAGGAAAGCTGGGAAAATTACAAAAAGCATATTTTTAAAGACTTCAGAGAGCCACAGAGACAACACAGATTAGAACTAAAATTCCAGAGAGATAGAATATTTCAAAGGGGAACTAAGGATACGCAGCTGTGTTGTCCTGAGGGTATTTGCTGATTTGGGCACAGGTTAGTGGTGGAGAATCTGGGCTTGGGACCAAGGCTGCTGCTGGGGGACAGAGAACCAGTAGAGCTTGTGTTGGTCACATAAGACTAAAATAACAAGATTAGGGACTTGAGGGATCTCAAACACAAAGGTAGTTTTCCCCTCAAAATGTGCTAACTTCCAAAGCTGCTCTGGGAAAGAGATTAAAAAGCTAAGCAAAAAACTTAAGCAGAGCAGAATTTCCTGTAATCTCTTGGCGCTTAGGAGACAAACACTGACTTGGATAGAGGCCCTAAGAATACAGCATAGTAGTAGTGACTGAGAACACATGCCCATAGCAGAGAAATCAAAGCAGCTTTCATCTGATGTGTGTGNAGCGGGCACTGGATTAATATTTGTTGAATGAATAAATGAATAAGGAAAATGGTATAATTTCGACCAAAGTAGATATCTATTTAACAAATTATCCTGGGTATTTTGAACTTTATGTACACAGGTTTGGCCATGATTTTGAAGATAACAAAAGAGGTGACTAAACTGCTCTGTATAAAAGAGCAGAAATTCTGAGTTGTGAGGAGATGGGAGAAAGAAACAGAAGAAAATCCAACATGATAGTAGGAGGCCAGGGCTGTAGGTAGAATGATGGCCTCTTAGAACACCTCTTAGATGTCCCTCAAAACCTCCCACAGGAATCAATATGGAAAACACCGTTCACAGCAGGCCAGCACTCATGTTGAGAAAAGCTAGGAAAGCTGGGAAAATTACAAAAAGCATATTTTTAAAGACTTCAGAGAGCCACAGAGACAACACAGATTAGAACTAAAATTCCAGAGAGATAGAATATTTCAAAGGGGAACTAAGGATACGCAGCTGTGTTGTCCTGAGGGTATTTGCTGATTTGGGCACAGGTTAGTGGTGGAGAATCTGGGCTTGGGACCAAGGCTGCTGCTGGGGGACAGAGAACCAGTAGAGCTTGTGTTGGTCACATAAGACTAAAATAACAAGATTAGGGACTTGAGGGATCTCAAACACAAAGGTAGTTTTCCCCTCAAAATGTGCTAACTTCCAAAGCTGCTCTGGGAAAGAGATTAAAAAGCTAAGCAAAAAACTTAAGCAGAGCAGAATTTCCTGTAATCTCTTGGCGCTTAGGAGACAAACACTGACTTGGATAGAGGCCCTAAGAATACAGCATAGTAGTAGTGACTGAGAACACATGCCCATAGCAGAGAAATCAAAGCAGCTTTCATCTGATGTGTGTGTGGAAGACATGAGGGTGGGGGAGGACTAGATAACCTGGTAGTGAAGGATGTGAGTTTCTAGACTAAAATTGCCCACTGAGTACCCAGAACAGTAGCTGAAAATAGACTCATACCACATCATCATGACATTTCAAGTTTTAAAGACAAGAAGAGACCCTAAATGCTTTCAGAGAGGGGTGGAAAAAAAGAGAGAATCTGAATTGTCGGGCCTTAAAAACTAATGCCACCTTAAGTGACATTACAAGCGGCGCCATTATGGGCCCACAAGGGCGTATTAACGTAGCAGCCTAAGATGGCGCCGGGAGGAAGTAGGGTGGGAGTGTTTGTGGGAACCTTGCCTTAGCCCTTATTGGCCAAATACAGGCTTCCGCGCTCGTGAACACTGTGTGATTGCAATAGCTAGGCATTGAGACAGGATGCATGCTCTCGTAACCTTTAAGCTGATTGGACGATATAAAAACCTCCCTTCCCCATTTGCCTTTAAAAGCAAGTGCTTGTGTGATAATAAACGGAACTGCTCGACAGAACCCCCGCCATGTCTGAGTGTCCTTTAATGGGATGGTTGCGGCCGGTGGCTGTGCTCACCTCTCTTCACAGCTCTCTTCCCCTGTCTCCTTCCAACCGGGACCGGAGGAAAAGAGGAATCCGGGCAATCTACCCGCCACCCACAGGGGAGAACAAGGGAGTTACCAATAGGAAGGCAAGGGCTGTACGGGTCGGCCGGCGGCTGACCCAACACTGAATGGCATTAGATCTCGGAACAGCAATGCTGAAAACAATACAGCAAAGCCTTCAAATTTCAGAAGGAAACTGATTTTCAATCTGAAATTCTACATTTAGACAAACTATCAATTAGTATGAGTTTCTAGACTAAGAGTCCACTGAGTACCTTTAGGGATGTAAAAGTTGGAAGTGAGTATATATTGCTCATTAAGGCTATAATGGTCATCTATCAAGCTATAACATATATTACTTTTAACATATATAGTAAATTACACCTCCTAAGAAAATCAGTAGTAACAGGAAATACAAGAGTACTTCATGGAAAGTATCTTCATCAAAGGTTACAGGAAATATGAGGGTTCAGGGAAAGATTTGTATTATCTTTTTAATTTATTTACTTATTTATTTATTTTGAATATTCATGGTATACAAAGCTGATTGTCCCCCTTCCTGCCCATGATGTGGGGGCCAGATTCATATTGCAGACATACCCATTACCAGAAATTGCTTTTGTACCCTTTGTCCCCTTCCAATTATCCCCCAAC